GGGTGAGGGGGGGGGGTGGGGGGTGGTGCTGCCGCTACGGGGTGTCGTCCTTGGCTATGCCGAGCGGCGAGGCGGCGGCGAACATGGTTCCAATATGAAGGTGGTGGCTTCATTGGTGGTTTCTCCACGTCTGGCCGGGATTTGGGTGCCCTTCGGTTCTCCCGGTCTGCATGTCGGAGGGGCGTTGGGTGCGGGCTCTGGGTCGGGGAAAATCCTTGACCAGCGAGGCCGGTCACGATGTTGGCGATGCCCATGATGCTGTTCTCCTTTTGTGTGGGCAACATCGAGACCTACACCCCGACCCTCCGCCTCTTGGTCCCGGGCGAAAGCCTAAAATATCCGGATTGGGCAGCGGCGGCGCTATCTTCTTGAAGGCGCTGCCTTGGGAGCTCTTCGTGGTCAAGGGCTCGGTGCGGTGGTGGTCTGCCGATCTTCAGTACTGTCCATTCTCGGCAGCTGCAGTGTGCGTTTGGGTCTTGGCCTGAGATGGTAGCGATGTATGGGTGTCCTTTAGAGGTGAGGTCGCCACAGCTGTTGTCCTATCCTCGGCAACTGGTTGGCCTGCCCATGCGTTCTTAGGGGCGAGCTGCTCTGCCTGTCAACGTGACGGCGTCCTTCGATCCAGGACGAGAGGGCAGGGTGCCCTCTTCAGAGGCAGCGACGGGACGGCAAGTTTGGCCTTGGAAGGGACGGAGTCTGGCTTTCGTCTGGCGGTGAATAGCTCCCTTGTCGCAGTCGTTGATGTCATGATCTGAGGCCGTCGTGGGCTCCGATGTCCTACTGGTCCTTCGGAGCTCGTTAGTTGTTCCATAGAGTTGTGTATCCTATCATTTTATTTTCCGTTTCCTGTTGTATTGCCGGTTGTAATATGTGGTTTGCTTTATATATAAAGCTGGGCGAAAGACTTTTTCGGTAAACCTATCGATGGGTTGTGCAATCTCTGTATTCCTTTACCCTCTCGACGACCACCATACAAGTTCAGATGAAAAGACTGTATTGTGCATGAACATTTTCATGAGTCCATGAATGTTTTTAGAATTTATGAACATTTTTCTAAAGTTTATGAACATATTCATGTCGTTTTCTAAACATTTCATGAACATTTTTCATACATAACACCATTTTAAAATCCATGTTTCAGAAATTTGTGAATATTTTAAAAACTTAATGATTTAAAATTTCTTAACATTTAGTAAAAATCCATGGTCGTTTTCATAGTTTTTTTACATTTTCTGGAAAACATTCAACATTTTTTCCAATCTATGGATATTTACAAAAAATCATGATTTGTTTTGGCAAAACAATTTTGTAAATCAGAAGTGCGTGTGGAAAAGTGGGCTGCTGCCTAATTGGCTACTACAACCCATAGCCCAAAAGCTGGATCCGCCAGTGTGGAAAACCAAAGGAAACCGGAAAACAAGAAAGAAAGAAAAAATCTTTAAAGCTGGATCCCCCAGACGCCGAACTGGGTCGGCCCATCACAGCCACGCGTGTGCGCTACCCTCCCCGGCGTCCCCCAACGGCGGTGAACCACCCACCGCCACCGGTGGCCGCACGCGACAAAGGCAAGGGCGAGCCTCGAGCCAAGGAGGCAGCTGCTAGCACGGCGGCGTGGCGCTGCCCGATGGCAAACGCAGCGCCGGGGAGGAAGGAAGGATGCGCGCCCCTCTCAGCGCGGGGACCGGCGCCGCCAACCGCGGGCAAGGGCGGGCAGAGATCCGTTGCGCCGCCATGGCCGGCGGGTGCGGCAGAACCGCGGGATGGAGAGGAGGGCATGGCGTCACCTTGCAATTCCTGGTTAGCTAATTTCTCTTCAGTCAGCTCTCCTACTTACATTATTTCTCTGTTTCCTCATCATTCAGAGTAACCACATAGATACAATTGCTTAAGTCTAAATCTTGTCAAATTCTAGTACTACTTGCTGCTGATTGACATTAACATTTGCGGATAGTCAACGGCACTTCTACAGCACACATTTCAAGCTACAAATAAAAATCTTAAACCTATGAAACAAACCACGGTCCAACTCCAACCCAGATAGTCAGAGAGTACATCACATAGTGCAGGTAGTACAAGATCATAAACTAAAGTTTTGCAGGGATTTCTACAACAGATTTAGTACAGATGACAAACACGTCATGCAACAAATCAAAACTAACTCGCCGCGTTGCAACCACAGAAAATGTTCAAACTATTCAGGGAAAGGCCCTCATGATTACAGTCCATAAGAATATATAGTGAACTCTTACATGCATCGGAATAATTAAACAATACCCTGCCACTCGTCTAGTTGCCTGACTGCTACCACACGGTACTGTCAAAGTCAGTCAATTTTGTTGTATATGTGGCGTGCCCTCTGGAGCAGGGCTGGTTACTATTCCTAATCTGCGAAAATCCTTTTTTTTTATTACAATTTCGTTGAAACTCTCTAGAGATTGAAAGAGATTGAAAGGAGCTAAGTAGCACAAAGCATACCTTTGCTGGCAAAACTGTAGCCCCAACGCTTGCTGGCTGGATTTTGAACCCTGCTCTTCATCTCAAACAGAAGGGAAGAAAATGTTGGTAGAAGAATGCAGTGGGTTACTGAAGTGTATGCAATAATCATGTAGCTCTTAGTGAGTGCTGGAATGTAGTACATTTTAGGAGAGTCCTGTTTGGAGGAACATCAAGAATCTGGTATCTGTGGAGCAATATCGAAATGCAGTTCTCTTTTCTGCTATTAACAATGACATGAGTTACTATTATTGTAAGACCGATTATGAACCAACCTTGCTGAAGGAGAATGAGTGTGTAACTACACCAGTGGTTTGTGGTGAGCTGTTTTCCTGTTGCATATGTTTATATGTTTCCATTATGAGGAATTTGTAGTCAAGTTACAATATATAGAAGGCTGATGATGGCACCTGAGCAAATTAATATTGACCTGTATGATAAATTATTCTCTTGCCAAGATTCAGGGAGTAGTCCTTGAGGAGTTGAACTGAAGACGCTGCTGTTTGCTCCTACATTTTCTACACTGGTAGTTTACGATTTTGGTGAGTCATGTTTTGGGGAGTTTCCCTCTATCTGTACATCTGTGCAACCAGTAAAATTCTGGATTTGCTGCTTGCCTAACTGAACTTTGAGCTCTAAGTAAAAAGCTGGGATGACACTTTTCTCTAATTTTCTCTCTAGCTGGGATGACCCTTTCTGACGATCGATGCTGGATATGAAACAGCCAGTGAATACGAGACATTGTTTTGCTATGCTGATGTTTTTTTTTTCATTAGGGGCCAAAAATGTAGATCAAAATGTTTCTTGCGCACTATAGACCCAAAGTGGTCGGACCCTTCCCTGGACCCTGCGCAAGCGGGAGCTACATGCACCAGGTTGCCCTTAAAATGTTTCTTGCGCCCAAAAAGAAGATGGAGATATGATGTGGTACCTTATCCACGTTGGTTCCACGCACAACCACACACCTCAAGTGTTGAATAATTGCTTCTCCGCCTTTACCGCTCCTTGGACGGCCTAGATTGTTTTCTTACACTGTTACCGTTAAGGCATTGCTTAAGCTAGTTGCTAAGTTACTTTACTTAAGCTAGTTGCTAGTTGTTAGAAGGTATCAATCTTAGACTGCAGATTTTTGAAATGCTAAGTGGAAGCTATGTTGTTACTTGTCAATACTAAGCGCAGATATCGATCTGGAACTGCAGATATATCAGTTTGGTACCCTGGAATTCTTGCCCATGTGCTATGCGCAGCAGTAAGTTGTGTTGAGTAGAAGCTGACCTTTGTATATTGCAGGTTACATGTTGACAAAAATAGACATTAATTGTGATGCACTGGTGTCACTAGGCTACACTAATTAAGATGAGGAGATGCATTACTGCAGCTAGCATCCTGCTGATGCTCTCATCGGCGGCCACCCCTCCGATGCCGCCGACAGCGCGGGCACCATTCTCCTGCCGAGCAAAGGCAA